AAACTGTATATTGTTGTATATACTGTAAATAGACTTTATATAATAAAATACATTCATAACCCATATACAGTATAGTAAACAGAGTGGGACTTCACTATCACTGTATGAGGTAAGAATCAACAGTGTTTTATCACATTTACACAACACTTTATGAATACAAGTAATGAGCAAATTTTAAATATGGCAAGGAATGTGTTTCCTTTTTTAGTTTTGATTTTGAGCAGCAAATTTGAAGTTACATATTGGTGCTCACCAGGAATGCATAAGCAAAATTGCACACATTTTCACTTGAAAGAATAGTGAACAATCTTGGGATTTTTTTCTGTTAAAGTTTCAAATAATGTGTAAATTGAATACACTTCATCTTCAGCATGTTTAGTGCCACTTTAAGTGGCTCTGCCCCCGTCCCGGCCACGCCCCCGTCCCATTTGTGTTGATAAAGTCTTTTCTTGAGTGTTTGGAAATGGAAAAACAATGACAACAAAAGTGCAGTATACGCACACTTAAAAGAAAAAAACCACACAATTGAAGATGAACAAGTAAAAATCTTCAGAACAGAAAAGAGATGGTTTGAAAGGGGAGTAAAGGAAGCGATTTTTGTCAAAAAATTTTCATCCTCTGAACCGTGAAGGAGGTATCAGATTTAACCTGTCTCCTATTTACAATAACTTGTTGACCACCAAGGGACATAGACATGCTGATCAGGCTAACTGAAAGTAGCTATTCAGCCCTAGCCCAAACAATAGGCCTAATCAAGACCCAACGATAGGGAATTTAGAAATCAATGGGCCTCTTCACCATAGGGGCGTGACTAACCATCCCCACCCAGTCCTCAAATAGGCCACGCTCAGCTTTTTAGTGCAGAGCAATTTCCCGGAGCCTTCAGGGAGACTTCAGAGTTGTCTACCGCTGACGAAGCTTCTGTGAGAGAAGCTAAACGTCCTTTTTTTTTTTTTTTTTTGTTTTTTACCCACAGGTACAGATGACAACTGACGGAACCCTTTCTACGATGGAACTTTCCTGTACGACTGAGAGCCCCCACAAGCAACAGAAGAAGAGAGGTAATTAAGTAATTAAGCCATTGCTTTCCATTTCCATCCACTGGACGGCATCTTTCATACTAAAATCGTACATAATGGATATGAGCTGGGCAGCCCGATAGTATCGTATGTTTGGATACCTCAGACATTCGTCATTGCAAGGAAAATGAAGAAAGGACTGCCTTTTCCTAGGACTTATTGCCCATGTAAAATGTCGAAGTAGCTTTTTAAATTGATCCAGTCAGCCGGAGGTGGCAAGGGGATATTCTAAAAAAAACACAGTCCCTTCAGAAGTATAATCATTTTGTCAACATCAATTCTTGGAAGAAACATTCATCTATTGACACTATTCGTAATTTCTTCAGTAAGTGATTTATAATTATGATGAACAATCATATCTAATTTTGAAAAAATTGTAGACTTAAGTAGATAAATTGAGAAACAGAACTGAATGGTTGGTGTATTCTCTCCCTCTCTCTCTACTTAGCAACAGGACAGATGATTTTAATCTATTATTAACATACCCTGAAACATAACCAAACTCAGCAATTTTATCAAATCGAAAAAATTTAATTGCCAAAGTAAGACAATTGTCATCTACATATAATGAAAGCCTATTTTGCACCCGACCAATTGTGATTCCTGCAAAATTGAAATGTGATGGTACAGCGATTACAAAAGGTTCCATTGCTCAAGTCAACAGCAAAGTCGATACTGGACATCATTGGTGGCATCAACGTCAAATTAGAATTGGTTTAGACATAATTGAGAAAAATATATATTTCATTTAGTTATGATTTACACATAAATTCATTGACATTTCTTCTTTAGATAAATGTCATGACTCTGTTCTGTTTTGGTTTCAGTTTCTAGCTCGAGTGGAGGGCAGTTCCCTCCAGCGGTGCACTTGTCAGCATTTCAATCAGCTCAGTATTGAAGGACTGCCAAGTTGTCATGCCTTGCTCATGACTCTGTCTCCAAGTTATTTGCCTGGCCAGGTTGTGGCTTAACTCATTGTGAGTAGTTTTTTGTTGTTAATCATAGTCTCGGTTTTGTATTCCGCGTGTTTTTGGGTTTTCTTGTCTTTTCACAACAAGCAATTTCTGTTGACATTTGTTCTTGCGTTTTGCTGGTTATTGAAACCAACGAATTTTGTTGCACTTTGTCGGTCTCGCGCAATTTTGAATATAAACTTTGTGTCAAATTCTTATCTGAGTCCACGTTTGGAGAGTCTAATTTTGTCCGACACATGATACATTTTCCTTAGACTAAACCACATATTTCAAGAAGTCAAATTACTTTGCTTTAAAAGATTCATCATTTCATTCCTTCATTTTTTTAAGGTTTTCAACCTGCAAAGCTGCAAACTGCAAAAGTATAAACCTATAAACTTCAAAACATTAAATCAAAGTTGAGTTGGCCTCATGTCCTACATTCTTCCTGTCCATCAAGTTGGACCAGCATGACAAAAGGAATAAGCTTGACAATTGAAAATCACTCGTGCAACTAGCCTATTAATGCTATAACAATGGCAAAGAGCAGTTAACAGACCAATCAACGATGATACAACGGCTGACTGGCGACCTGGCATTCTTCAAGTGATGTCA